TGTTAGTCCGCCCAGGGTCACAAAGCTGGTAAATGACAAAGCTAGGACTCAAACCAGGAGTGACTCCAAAGTCACCTTACTAACCACCTGGCTATTCCACCTCCTAATAAATAAATCATGAGCCCAATACATTCTTATCTAATCTCTGGCAAGTACTAATTTTTTTCTCCTTTATAGTAGAGACAAAATTGCTACAACTGGCAGCCAACCAAGAAACAACTCATTTTTGTATTTTTTCTAGAGACAGGGTTTCACCATGTTGCCCGGGCTGGTCTCAAACTCCCAAGCTCAGGTGATCCATCCGTCATGGCCTCCCAAGTGGCCTCCCAAAGTGCTGAGATTATATAGGTGTGAGCCACTGCACCTGGTATCCAATCCATGTCTTACAGAGAAGTGTGTTTTTGGTTCTATGCAATATTTCCTTTTATTTCCTTATAATAAAACAAAAGGAAACACCAAAAGTCACAAAACCTAGAAGACCGGCAAGGATCTTAAGGGGTAACACTGTCTTATTATTCATTCTGTTGCCTCCAGGGGAGAAGACCTCATTACAATTACCCCAGGGCAGGAACCGGGGAGCAAGTGAGGGGGCTCCCAGAGAACAGGTCTTCTGACAGCATCAGTGGTGGTTCCCAGTCTCCCTCATTATTTCACATTGACTGCATAACTGAGTAACAACACAAATTTTCAGAGACTGAAGCCTAACAACAGAGATGCTTTCCTGCTTCATGTTGGGCCACTTCAACTGGCTAGGCTGCTCAATTGTAGAACAACTGTGACTTAAGTGGCAATCCTCTTGCTGGTTACATGGCATTTTAAGAAGCAGGGTGAATATGATCACCTACATACAAACCCATGCACTGGAAAATAGCTACTACGGCTCACTCTCATCCCCCCAGGAGCCCAACGTGGGCCTTTTCCTATATTTTCTCAATACACTTTCTCAAGACACAAGTTGTCTCTCAAATAAGCTCTCGAGCAGAAAATCTCTCTCAGATGACTTTCAAGCCTAGAAATCACCATTTCTGACAAGCTGTGAACAGTGAGGGTATTACACCACAGAACAAACCAGGATCCACAAATAAAGACACAAAAAACAAAACATCCAAAGAGATAAAGTCATTTGGATGGGGATGAATTTCATAAACAAAACTACCTATTTCAATTCTCTTTATTCCTCCTATAAACAAATTTCTCTAAAACACAATGTCTTTCAACCAAAGGAGTATTGGTTTCATATATTGTCCGACCCTCAAACCCACTTTCAGTCTCAAATCTGAGCTGATGTTCTCAAAAAGTTGATAGATATTACAAAGCTGAGCCTGTGAGCATTGTGGATCTACTCTGTGTCTCACTCAGGCAGAGAAGAAAAAAAGAGTATCAGAACATTACCCTTCTTTGATCCGACCCTGGAAGACGCACTGAAGAATTTCTTCACTGTGGTAACCTTGCGGGTCTTCTCATTGGTTTTCTTTTCTTCAAACTTGGAGAATGTGAGGGATTGGGCCCCTTGGCTGCTCTGACTGCTGGCAAAGGCCTCTTCTTCCTCCCGCTGGAGTCTGCAATTCAAGAAAGGATTAGAATGATCTAGATATTCTCCAAGGTTCTCTGTATCTGAAGGTTATTACTCCATTAATTCAGGAGGATCTAAAGATTTTAGAACTAGAGACTAAATATACCAAATCAGCCTGAGGTCTCACATAGCTACAGGATGGACTGCTCTTCATGCACTACAGATTTCAAATGGGATCTTCTCATGCTCATTCAGCAACTGCTCTAGGGCTACATGAAAGAAATCAAGTCTAGTCCTTTTCCCTAACAAGCTCAAGGTTAGAACAGATGAAATGGTAAGTAAACAACTGCTACATAATGGGACAGCTGCTACATTAGAGAGTAAAAATTGAGTGCTGTGAGAACACAGGAAAGAACAACTCAATCTGCTGGGGGAGTCTGTTGGGGCCTTACAACAGTGATGTTTGGGCTGGGTCTTAAAGGATACATAGGATCCTTTTTTGTTTGTTTTTTATTGAGACAGAGTGTCACTCCATCACCCAGGCTGGGGTGCGATGGTACGATCTTGGCTCACTACAACCTCTGCCTCCCAAGTTCAAGCAATTCTCCTCCCTCAGCCTTCCAAGTTATTGAGACTATAGGCACACACCACCACGCCTGACTAATAAGGCTGAATAGTATTCTAAGTGAAAGGATATTCCAGGAAGAAGGAACTACAGATGTGCAAGCCTGTGGTTTGCTTCACAACAAGGTGAATGTAGCCAGAGCACTGGGCGTGTGATGAACTGTGATGCTGGATACATAGGAAGGCACCAGAGGGTAAGGAATCTTGACTGCTAAGCCCACTATTCTGGATTTCATCATGTGGTGGGGAAGAAAGACTGTAAATCCAAAAAGTTATCGTTGTCAGATCTGTGCTTTAGAAAGATCATGCAGGTAGCTGTGTGAACAACCTGAAGGGTAGAGAAACTAGAGACAGGGACAAGAAGTAAGAGTATATTATAAAGGTTTAAGTAAAAGAAAATAAGTACCTGGGAAATAGGAGTATAAAAGGTAAAATTCAGAAGCCTTTTCTGAGTTGGAAGAAATAGAACTTGGTTAAGTTGTAGGTAGCAAGGGAGATGAAACAGAAATCAAGAATGAAAACAAGATTTTTTAGCTAACTTGGTAAATAGTGATGCCATTAATTGACTCAAGAGAAGGATTAGGAGGAAAATGTTCAGAATGGGGAGAATAATAAATAAAAGCAATAAAATTTGGCTTTGGATTAGCTGCATGTGAACCATCTGTAATAATTACCAAACACAGGCCGGATATGGTGGCTCACGTCTGTAATACCAGCACGCAGGGAGGCCAACGTGCTCGGCCGGATCACTTGAGTTCAGGAGTTTGAGACCAGCCTGGGCAACATGGTGAAACCCTGTCTCTACACAAAATACAAAAACTAGCTGGGCATGGTGTCATGCTTCTGTAGTCCTAGCTACTTGGGAGGTTGAAGTAGGAGGATCACTTGAGCCCAGGAAGCAGAGGTTGCAGTGAGTCAAGACTGCACCACTGCACTCCAGCAGGGATGACAGAGCAAGACCCTGTCTCAAAACAAACAAACAAAAAACTCAAGCACTATCTATAAGACAGTGGTTCTCAAAGTGTGATTCCCCAGACAGTAGGAGCAGCATCACCAGGCAACTTGTTAGAAATGCAAATTCTCTAGTCTTACTCCCAAGCTACTAAAATCAGAGACTCTGAGGGTAAGGTCCAGCAGTCACTGCTTTTACAAACTTTCCAAGTGATTTAGCAGCGTCACAATTAAAAGCAGTAAGAAACAGAAATGCCTATCTCCATTCTTCCACTCCAAGGAGCTTACTGTCTAAATTTGAGAACTAAGACTAACACAACCCAAGGAAAATAATCAGAAGTTAAGACATACACAAAATGAAGAAACTACTGAAAGCTGTTCATCAAAGGCTAACTGAGAAGAAGAGGGGAAAA